AAAACTCTAGACACCCCACCTTTGAACCCTAATAAAGGCAGAGCCCAGGTCTGTGCGCTCTCTTTCTCTTTTCACCAGTGACCTCACTATGTGGCCCTCCAGAATCTCTGAGTAATAATTTTGTTCCTCAAAGTTCCCTACTGGTTTCTTACTGAAGTACAGCCTGCGATCATATTAAGAACAAGGGCTGGTCCAACCTCAACATTTGGCCCTTCTGGAGGAAATGTCTGTGAGGGCTCCTAAAAGCAATAGGAGCTGAGGCAAGTGCCTCAAGCATTCCTAGCGAAAAGCATCACTACCAATAGGCTGGGACCAACACAACAGTACCCATCTCTAAATTTTGAGATTGGTCATTATTATTCTGGTTGTAGATAATTTGATAATGGTTGATTTCTTAAATTAAAAAAAATATGTCTTTTGTTTTGCAGTGCCATTGTGAAATAAGGTACCTTTGCAATTACCTCATTATAGCTAATAAATTGGTTCATATTACTAGAAAAATGGTATGATTTTATTAACAAAAAATTATTTCACCATTTTAAAGTCTGATGTAAAACTAAATCAATACTTGAATCAATAATTCATTTGGATTTTTACATGGATTGTACAAACATTTTCATCATCACTTTTAGTATTTATTTTTTCCTATCTGATATACTGAAATTCATGAAGTATTTGAACAGACCCTTAGTATTAGGACAGGGAGTATATCAGATATTTCACATCTTCTCTCCATATATGTCATTTCATTTCTATACTTGTAGTGCAATTACAGTCTTACAGAGGCAGAGACAGGTAATAATTAGGCATTTAGGAGTTTTTCTGTGTTGGTAAGTACAAAAATTCAGTTGTGAATTCTAATTTTAAAAATCATGATAAATAGACATAATCACTGATATATCTCACTGTGTCTCATATATGTTTCTTGACTTTTCAATACCTTTATATCATGATCTGTAAATAATGAGGGTGCTTGCTGTTAAAGATTCTTAGATTATGAGCTAGTTTATATAAAATTAAAATTATACAGTATGATAAAAAATTTTAAAAAATGCTTTCAAATTAACAATACCATGCAAAAATAATATTAATACTAGAAATCATATCAGGTCATTTGGAAGCATTTTATAAATTATCATATTTAACTCATTAAAGTTTATCTCATTAAAAATTGATTACAGTGACCTAAAAAAAACCCAAATTTATAAGAGTATATATAGATATAGATATATAGATATAGATATACAGATATATATCTTTTGAATTAGTTGATAGGATTAATCAGGCCACTAGTCTTAAAAAGTTGCAATTTCTATAAGCAGAAAATTAAAATGTGTTGTAGCAGTGATGCTTTGTAATGCAAATATTTAAGAGATCTATAAAATGTTCAGGTTTTAGGTATATGATAAATAAATAAGAATCCTATAAAATTCATAGAAAATTTATAAATTGTTGTTATAGTCAAGGATAGATAAGTTCCATATGCTCTAGTGCCATTTTTTTCACATAATCAATTAAAAATAGGTTTGAAATTAAAATGTAATCAGTGCAGTAACACCAAAGAATTTTGCCAGAATTAAAACTAGAATTACTATAGGAAAAATATACCATTTCAGATGCAGCTACATGTGAACACATTTGTTTTACTTAAAAGAACTAAGCAATCATTGTCATACATTGAGTGCTGATTATGTTGCCAGAACTCTAGACATTATCCAATCCTCAAGGCAATCTGAGAATTAAGTGTTTCTCATTTTTCTGACAAAAATGCTGATGCTAAATTTGGTTCATCGTCTAAGACCAAAGACTTTGTAAACAGAAGAACTGAATCTCACACCTAAAGATATTTCTCAGGCTCACTTATTCTCTCTCTTTCCCATGACTGTTCACGTTTGCTCCCTTCTCTGTGTTATAGCACCCTTTTTTGTAACAAGGTACTGCTAATTGCCCGCTTTTCTTCCATATGGTTGAAGCTCCTCTTCCTGCACACAAGGATGCATTTCATGTACAAATTGAAGAGATGTGCAAATTCTCAAGGTTATGACTAACAACTGGAGTAGCTTCTTTTGGTCTATTTTATCTTGATTTTTAATATAGCAACAGCTATGTTTCTTTATTTTTAATTGGATGTTTACCATATCTTAGGATAGAAATCTCAGCAATGGCAGGGGTGGTGAAAGAGTGTAAATGGAGATATGAACAGTGATTCATTTGTGGTCATTTATTAAATAAATATGTATATAGTGAGATAAATGTTATAGTTTATGAAATTTGAAGAAATGCCATTTAAACCTAATAAAATTAAACATAGTTAGCTTAGTAATTTAGATTACTGAATGAGAGAAAGAGATGAAGAAAGTAAACAAAAAAAATTGGCAAGCTGAAAATATTTAGTTCCTAGCTTTTCTTAGGCAACATATTCTTATTATATCTTTTAAACTATAATTTGGAAACATCTTTCACTAATTTATACATAAATGAATTCCACTTAAAATATAATTGCACCTGAAACCTCTAATTTAATAGGTAATGCACAGCTAAGTGAATATCATATAAATTAAAAGGAATATAGTACAAAAATCATAAAATATTTATTTATTGACTGAATCCCCACCTCCCTCAAATATGGACTAGAACATTAATCACGCAGGTGAGCTTGGTGACCTCCTTCAATTCCCAGTTGTTCGTTGAAGATAGGAGGGAAAAATAGACATTACACTAACATTCAATGTTGGTGCTACTATTTTTTCTGTATAAAGCAGACGCTATGAATTGCCTAACTCATAAAATACGTTTTCTTTTCACATATCTTCGTGCCATTTGAAAAATAATATCTTGCAACTATTAAGTAAAAAAAGAGGGAATGGGGTGTATGTGTGTGTGTGTGTGTGTCTTCTTTGAGGTTTATTTATTTGTGTGCTCCTTTGAAGGAAAAATAAATTTTTCCAGCACTTTTGAATTCCATGGTGTAAAGTTCACAAAACATCTTAGGAAATCTTTAAAAAATGAATTTCCTTGAAAAAGTAGAAAATTGATTTCTTTTTAGCAGGCTGGTTAAAATGGAACAGGTAAGAGTCACTTAAGCTGCATGTAGACAAATATAAAAGATTTGTTAAACACTTCACTTTGAAATAAAATATTTTCTATTATTTTAGCCTAATATATATATATATACACTCACAAAGAATATGAATACTTTTCATTAATTAAGTATAGACACTGATTATTTGGGGGAAATGCATCAATTTAATTGCTAGTGATTTCAGATACAATATGTTTAATCCCCATAATTTTAGGACCTGGCATAGTGCCATTTATATAAACAGCAGGTACTTGATAAATATTTATTGAAGAAGAAATGAACTAGGCTTTTTTTCTTATAATTAGGTCTTTTAAAAAAAGTTAAGTCAATATATATCTCTCTCCTTTTCCAACAAAGTGATTTGTTTGTACAGTCAGAACTTAATATCATAGAGATTTTGTTGGTAAGCAGTAAATTGCATTTCATTTGAATTACTGTTTGTAAAAAAAATCTTTAGAAAAACAATAAATTAAAGCAAAGTAGAACTTTAGATATTTACATTTCATATAACATCATAAAGTATTTTTTAACTTTTTCTTCATTTTTATTATTTTTCTACTCATTTTTATATAAGTTGTTATAAGAATGATCTTTAATCTCTTCTACTTATAGATTTAGCTCAAATACAGTTTTTTTAGTAATACTAGGTATTTTGAGAAATTCTTAATGTTACTATCATCAAGCTTTAGCTATCAATCTTGTACACTGCATAACAGAATTGACCAAATTATTAAAAATTAACAATTATAAGATACTAAAATATTTTTCTGGAACAAGAGAAAAAGTAATATAGTAACTATAAAGTAAAATCTAGCAGCAACTCAATATAATATTGAGAATTACTAGAAATTCTACAAAACACAAACAGTCTAACTGAACAGTCTTTACAAGTGAAGGAAAATAATGTTAAGTCTATCCTTGGCAAAACTTTAGATATATATTATTGTAAAGTCCTCATGATTTCAAATTACATTGTTACATTTAACACATATTAGGACAGCCAACGTGACATAAAACATGTATAAGAGTAAATGACAGACTTAATTTGGACAAATTGTCTCTGAACATTGCTTATGCAGAAATAAAGTTTAAAATGTGTATTTCTCTAATGTGCTCAAACAACTTTTTATTTTTTCATCATCTACTAACTACTTAAAGACTACTCAGAAATGCTTTTTTATATTTCTGAACGATGACGTAATAATTATTTTTGCCCTTAAGGATTACTTCAATATCTTTTAGGTTGCTCTGTTTGAGACAAACATACTTATTAGTAAACGGATGCCAGAAATTACTCATGGAGCCAACCATCAACTCCTGTCATCCTGGACAAGTCTAGAACATTTGCTTTCAGAACATTCTGTTAGTAGAATAAGTAGCTCCACTCAGCAAATCACTTCAGGCTGACATATTGAATATTTACCTAAAAGTTCTATGTGGCAAATAGTTTATAATGACCCCTGGATTATGCCAATTTTACAACAAATTCAATGCAGGCATTTTAATCTAGTTGCAGAGGAATAACAAATCATTAACATTAAACTAGGGTCTTAAAAAAGCAAACACTACCTCTGCATTTTTGAACATCTTATTTCTTTGCATTTATAGGGTAAGGAAAAAAAAAAAACAACAGTGTCCCATGTTCACATTTTAAACTCTCAATGTTGCAGAGCTCCATATATTCTCAACCTATATTCTGAAGCATTTTCATAAGAGTCATAATTGACACTAAGAAAAATTAAAATGTACCATCTTGTCTCATATTTTATTCCAACAACCTTAACTGATAGTAACTGAGGTGACTTAATTACTTCTTAGAAGTAAGTAAAATTGGATCTCTATTCCTCTACCCTTTATAAAACCTTTAAAAGCTCTATTTAATGTGTTTCCCAGGCCATAACAAAGAAGCATACTGTACCTCGTATGTTGCTGGATGTTGCAGATGTGGTTTGGCTGGCTGTTATGGCTACAGTGGTTGTGACTGTTGCAGTGGTAAGGGAGGGGATGATAGTAGTGGGAAGCAAAGTGTTGGGAACATCTGGTGAGTGGAAAAAAAATATAAAACAAAATCATATCATGCAAACAAAAGAGAAACACAAATGATTCAAATTACAAATACATATATCTTATTTGGGTTGAACTTTTAACAGGCTTAAACAGATTATCAGGTACAAAGCTGGCGGTACCACGCAGTTCTTGTCATTTTGTTTTTCATTGATTTTTAATGCTCCTACACAAAGCAAAAACTTGGAGCAATGTTTGCCTATAAGCAGATTGCCTGCAATATTTAGAGTAAAACTTAAAATGACAAGAATTCATTCGTTCGCTGAGTCGTTTAAGAAGTTTGACATGCAGTAGCAAAATACAGAGGTAAAACAGAAACTGACATGCTTTGTCAAAGAAGTAAACAAAGAAACAACACAACAGAAAATAAACACAAATAACACCACCATATAAGATTAAAGAAATGTTAACGATGGATGAATATATGCATGTTAAATACTCTGATTTTTTTTAGGCAAACAATGATAGGAAATAGGATGAAAGCAATCTTTAGATACAAACAAAAAAGAAGCCAACTGTTACTATTATTATTACCATTATTTTGCTTTTCCTTTTCTCACAAACGGTGTTAATGTACAGTTTAGAATCTTATAATTCTTACCCTGATTAGCTGGTAACGCCTTCTAACAATTTTGCAGTACCTAGGAGTCTTTAACAAGTATTGGGTCAACTAGCATGGAACTCAATATTCTGAACTGTTTATGACTTATTTTATTTGGCATACCTAGGAGAAGTTATTGAACATATATCTGAACCATAACATTCAACCACTAGTCCATAATCAGTCAAAGTTGGCAAAAGTTGACAGTAGATTCAAATACAGAGAACATAAAAAAGAGAAAAATTAGCTTAGAGTTTAACACCAAAATCTTCCTTTCACTCAAAAGCAGCTAAAACTTTGAAAAGCAGCATAGAGAACACTGAAACAATATAGCCAGTGTCAAGCAATGAGAACTTCAGTAAGATCCTCAGAGAGTCAAATCTTGTCTCAAGTGGATAGGCATAAAATTTACACAGTGAGGAAATTAGAAACAGTTCACAAATTACCTCTAATTACTGTGCTGGGTTTTGATTTCACATGTTTGCTACACAGCTCCTATATATTCAGAGTGTTTGACAGATTATTTTGCTATTAAAAAACTTCCTGTCATTCTCTCAGTTAAAGTCTCTGAGTCACACCAATTTTTTTCTAGTTCCTTACTTCTGATAAACAGCCCTACTCAATCCTCAGACTTTAACCTGCTGAATTCTCTATGCTGGAGACATCAGAAAACAGCATGAGATCACTCTCTTATCTTTGGTATTTATGTTTACACCTGTCTCCTGGCCAGTCACATTAAGAAAACAACCTTCTGAAAACCCAATGGTGCTACATTAATCACTAGAGAAAATGGGTATTGTCTGGAGTGCGATTACCATGATCATAAAGTAGAACTGACTTCAACAACATTAAAAATGAATAAATATTATGTATATGTGCACATATGCTTCTTGTTTACTAATTTCTATAATAACTTCTTATTTTCATTGTAAGCTTTCCTAAATAGTTTAGGCAGGCTGGAGGTAAATGAAAGACATTTTCTAAATTTAAAAAAAGTAATTTTAATTTTCATGCATTTCCAAAATAGAAAATAATATATTCTTTGTCTGTTAGCAAAATCATTTGCTCATTAGGATCTCAAAATATATGTATTTCATTAGTGCAAAGGGAAATATCTTCTGGGGCTAACAAATATAAGAATATACAATAATATTAGTCCTTTAAAACTCCATGGAAAGAACCCAAGATTACCAAACCTATCACTGATTATAAAATATTACATTATTTGCTATCAGAAAATGGGTTAGAATAAAATTTCATTGTATCTGAAAAGCAGTGTTTCAAAACCAGCTATATTATTTGATTCTGGAGTACAAATAACAGACTTTTTTTTTTTTTAAGCCAAAAAACCCCATATTGTTTGGATTTTTTTCCTTACTTCATATCAACAAAGATGGGTAATAATTAACTCTGATTTGTTTTGGAGATAGTCTATATATTTTCATGAGCATTCTTATATAAACCAACAATATCCTATTTCCCATATGAAGATGCATGATATATAGGGTTTCGCCCACCAGGCTAATATTCAAAAAACATTTAAAAAATGGGTAGTTTTAATAATTGTTGATCCACTTTAAGGGAACTGTCCTAGAGTCTTCTACAGGGTCCAGATAGATGAGATAACACCACTAACCATTATTGACTCATAGTCTGGCTCCTGCTTATCTGCTCATCATTCTCATCTTCTCCCCTTGACTTCATATGTACCTAAAAACAAACTGGCTAAAAGCAATTTGATGGAAAGAGCCTTGGCCGATACGACAATTGGGTCAAGAAAATGACCTGTCAAATAAGAAATGTCTCCCAGTCACTGTTACATATTTTTAATCACTAGTAACATTATTTCATCCTACATGTTCTGAAACATTTTAAACACTTTCATTTTTGCAAAAATTTTGAGGGTTTCATCAGTCTGTTCTTTCTTTTTATCACACATTCATGTCCATCCAATTATTTCAATTCTATTGTGAAATAGCAAAAGTTGAAATAATCTTAACATTCAATACCAGGAGATTAATCAGAATCAACTACAACTCAACAATGTAAGATTAGTTAGAATTAGTTGTAATTCTCAGAAAGGCCAAGGAAATTGTGTGATATTTCTCTTACCTAAACTTTCTATTGTTCTGATTTTATTGTTGTCAGTCTCCCCACTTGGCAATTAATCTTTGAATAGAACTCTGCCTACTTTATTGTTGGTACCCTAGCACAATTTAGAAGGTCAACAAAAGTTTACTAAATGAATTTGTTCATAGCATTATAAAAATAAAACATATTTTAGGGATCTAGAAAAGTTCACTTTTTTGACAGGTCAACTAGTCAATATAGAACTAAAATATTTCTTTACTTCTGCTCAAAAAAAAATCTTCTCTGTGTTTAATACATACAGACAAATTTTATTTTCTGAAGGATACATTTTCAAGATTATAACCTACAAATTCTTTCTTCAATAAATTTCCTTGCTAACAAAATGAATCTTTGCCTACGTATCCTGCAACTTTGAAAGCTGTGTGAGCCTGACCTGAGATTCATGTATTCCACACCACCTTATGAACTCTCTCCAGTTTCAACTGATTTGAGACTTTCCAAGAAAGGGTGTAAGACAACGAGGGCTCACTAAGTAACTCTCATTGTGATCAGTGGTGAATGATCTCAACAAATTTATGAGTTGTCTATTATTATCCCCACTTAATGGATGAAAGAACTTTGAGATAGAGTTTCCTCATCTTGAAAATTACACACATATGTATAAATATGTTATATTATAGAGAAAATTTTCTTAAACCTAAGTATAATGCAAAGAGAAATTTCTCTAACACTCCCATCTCAAGATCATTTATTTTATCTGTATGATTGTAACTCTTCTTTTTTTTTTGCCATACGCGGGCCTCTCACTGTTGTGGCCTCTCCCGTTGCGGAGCACAGGCTCCAGACGCGCAGGCTCAGCGGCCATGGCTCACGGGCCCAGCCGCTCTGCGGCATGTGGGATCTTCCCGGACCGGGACACGAACCCGTGTCCCCTGCATCGGCAGGCGGACTCTCAACCACTGCGCCACCAGGGAAGCCCTGATTGTAACTCTTGTCAAGGCAGAAATTAGTAAAATTCTGAGCTGTCTTCCTAAGTCCAAATACCCAACTCTCTAGTTTTTATCCTACAAATGAGTGGCAACATTTGGAAACATTCAGCAATTATTTTAAAGGTCCTGGTTTGATGCATTCACTTTTGGCCTTTTATTTAAACATTGATTATGAGAATGAAGCTACATTTTCATAAGGAAATACGAAATTGAAAACATGAGTAATAATAATTTGCCTTAGTTTTAAGGCATCTAGAATTCTGTACCTTTTAAAAACCATTATGTTGTTACTACAAAGAATACTCAATCAAATATAGTACAGGATAGAAAATGCAGGTCATTTTGTCCCCAAGACACATCCATTTTTATGTCTCCAAAGAATAAAAATACATTGATTCATATGCAGAAGAATTACAAACATGTGCACACACATAATAAAAGTAAGTTACTCCTGGTTCAACATTAATTTACTAATTCTGTTTATAAAGCCACATATTCTGCAATCATATTAATATTATAAGTAATTTGCTGAATATAACTTAAATTTAGAAGATTTTAATATATGTCTTACATGTTTACATCCTATGATTTAAATGGACACTAAGATAACTATAAATAAAAAATAGAAAAATTAATGGTATGCAATTCATGAATATTAAAATTCAGGAATGATAACTGTCTAACAGACAGGTCAGTCAATTAACTACATGATATTTCATCTCTGTTTTCTACAATACAAAGATGGGCTTAAATTTTTATTGTCATATTCCTTGGAGAGCATGTTAATTTAATCAAACACTGTTGAATTTGCCTGGAAAAAAAAATGGTTAAAATAAGAAGTTAATCATTTACAATTTACAAAAGAAATTTACTGTATTATATATTTTCTAGATGTTAAAGTATAAATAATGAAGTTAGTAATTGATAAAATATGTAGTGCATAAAAAAAGGTATCTTGAGAAGTGCACAAAGTGAAAATAACTAGATTTTATTTTTCAATTTTAGTTCAGATCTGATCAGATAAATTAGCAAATACAGATAAATTATTCAAATATAATTTAAATCCAAACAAGAGAAATTTCAATAAAGTTCTTCAAAATCAGAAATAAAAGCATATTCTAGTTAATAATAAATTTGTTTGAATATGATATAAAAATATTTTCAAGTTGTTAAAAATTTTTATCACAATATATACAAATGTGTAACACCAGATTCTCTGAAATTGTGATTATGTGTTTAAAATCTTTGCCTAGCACATCAAATCTTAGGGAACTACTCTATATACTAAAATGG